GGAAATGGACGGCCTGCCTGTTCATATGTACAGGAGGCTGTACATACATATATACATATGTACAGGAGCTCGACCTCCTGTTCAAATGCACAGGAATTGTGACGTTTTTTTCTGGGTAGGCTTTCTCATTACTCAACAGTAACAAATAGATCTGCCATTACGTTCAGCATTACAGTCAAGCATGTCCTCTGCATTCAGTCAAGCTGATGATCAACTCTCCTCTGGAGCGTTCCTCAATCGTGCATGACTTTAAATCCGACCCTAATTTAGGGTCGGTTTGGGGGAATCCGTCCCTAAATATGGGGACATTTTTCAAACCCGACCCTAAATCGAAACCCGACCCTAAATTAGGGATGGTTTCTCAGGAGAAACCGTCCCTATTTTTAGGGTCGGTTTCGCAACCCGACCCTAAAGGGAATCCGACCCTAAATCCAACCGAATCCGACCCTAAAACAGACCCTATTTTAGGGTCGGTTTCATGCACGATTGAGGAACGCTCCTGCTATCTCGCAGGCTGAGGTATGGACGTCTCCACCCGTAATCATTCAAGTAGCTGGCTCTCTCAAAGACGATGGAGATAGAAAGGAAATCAATCTTATTCCAACACTCGGTCACAATACTCGCAACCGATCGGAGCCCAAAACTGCTATTGTGCACTGGCTCCCAAAGGAATTCTCTACCAATACTGCTGAGTTTCGCACTAAAACGCTTGCACTAAAACGCTTGCACCATATTTTGTCAACGCTTGTCGTGCTTCTGGCTTTGTTGTACGACTCAGGGGTTTCGGGAAATCAAAAAATATTGCTGCCTTCAACCAGCATGCAGAAGCACATCCGATTTCCTGTGCAATTGTACAGGATCCGACCTCCTGTACAATTGCACAGGAATCATGTCGATCCTGTACAATTGCACAGGAATCACGTCGATCCTGTACAATTGCACAGGAATCACGTCGCCTGTACAATTGCACAGGAATCGCGTCGCCTGCCAGGCCAAAATTTGACTGCAGGCTGGCTCTCTAAAAATCCTGTTCATATGCACAGGCTGTATGTAGTGCTCTCTACCCCCTGTCAGCTTTCTACAGTACGAGATTAAAGTGGGTTTTGACTGGGACCGTGCTTTATCCAGTGTTAAATGAGGTCATTTCAGATTAAACCCACTTTGTACTGTGTGGATTGTCCCAAATGACGTTTTTACTTAATGCCAAACAAGGTATTGGAGGCAATTTCAATCATACAACAAAGCACTCAAGTATGCTTTAAGCAAGTCGAATCAAGGAATATGTTTCATGTTAATGCTTGATCCCTTTCTTCTACTTCTATTGAGATTAGGATATAGTTGTGCACGGAAACTTTCTAGGTCACTCTACTCAATATCCCAGTGGGACACTGAAGGCATTTCAATTTATACTGTTTTTGGTATAGTAAATCGGTGTTGTCCCAAAACGCCTGTACCGACATGTGGTACGATAGTTACAGTACTAGCTCTAGCTCTTAGTACATGTACTCCTAATAATCGACACCTGAGTACTCGTCACTGTTAAAGCCCAGTCAAGGTACCGTTTACATCGTTAACTCCAGAAACCACTGGTTCATTCAATGATTTAACTTTGATCACGTCTTTGACTTCGCACTTCTCCCTCAAAAAGGCTAAAAAGAAGTCAAGATTCAGGAGATGACGACTGAGTTTTATTTTTCACTTCTGCTGTTCCCAGTTTGGCGCACCCTTGTTAGCACCCTGACCTCGGGTGTTTCCTTCCTCCACTCTACGGTACCGTACCATGCACGCTAGCTAGCAAAGGCTCCTCGGGTCCCTATACAGCTCCAGCAGGTCAGGGCGAGTTGGGACCATCGACAACAGGAAGCAAGTGCTCTTGATTCAACGTGGTGCCGTCTTTGGCATTGAAAGAAATTTCGGGGTCGTACGTCCACGTGAATGCAACCGTGCTTCCACCGGTGTGCGATAGTGGTGAGCCCACAGCTCGTTCCACACTGGCCACGTTGCAGGGCCCATCGCGCCGTGCAATGTTAAAAAAGTAGTCAGCCCAGGCTCTGTGGTGGAGGAGCTCAAGGGCGTAGTTCGATGTGGTGTTGATTGGATTGCAAGGTGGCGGAAGTCGCAGATACTTGACCCAGCCAAGAGATTTGTAGAAGATTGCGACGTTCTTATTTGCGAGTTCCATAACGTCCGCTCGAGCCTTTGCCTTCTCTGGACCCAGAAAATCAATAAGGTTTACGCCAAACACATCTACAACCCAATTCATGGAGTATCCAAAATGAATGGTGTCTCCACATCTGGAGCAGCTGCGAGCCAAACGGTGGAAGTCGCGATGGTCGATATAGTCCAATACATTGGACCAACTCATCGTCCATGGCTTTGCTGCTGCAATCTCCTCGACCAAATCTTCAACCTTGCCGAAGCGCAGGTCCACAGTAACACGTTCATCCCGAGCCCAACCTGCCAGCTTTGCAATGCCAGTCAGAGCAAACTCTTCCGCTGCTTGAAGAATGTTTGTACTTGGCGACAAGAGCAACGCCAGCTCCTTCCAGTCAAGTGCTGAAAAGATCGTTTCACTGGAAGCCTGGGGAGCAGATCCATCTTGGCAGTCAAACATGAGAATGTTTCCTGCCAGGGCGCCATCATCCTCGATTCCAAAATCTCCGGTGAGCTCATATTGGGCCATGGCAATCCGATCAACCCTTCGTCGCATCTCGCTGATGCCAGAGCTGGCACATGATGTGTTGCGGGACCACCGTAGGCGAGCCTCGCCTAGAGTCATACGGGACGCAGCGCTCCAGTGGTTCAGCGTGGCCTTCACCTCTGGATTCAACGAGAAATGCTTGGACGACCGGCCAACGATGGCTTCGATGGCTGCCCGAACTGCTTTCTCCGTGTCTCCGCTCCAAGTCGCACTAAACCACGCCTGCAAGATTGCTCGGCAGTGCTTGTCACCCTCTCTGGTTTTCAAAGGGGGGGTCTGCTGGAACATTTCCCAAATCACCAGAGTCTTGGCCACGGCATAGACGGATAGTTCTATTCCAAGAAAACGTAGCGGTCCCGCCCTGGTTCCTGACAGTTTGTCTTCGAGAGTGGCAGCAAAGAGGATGCCCAAGTCTACGAATCCGACAGCTACATGGGTTGTTCCGAGATGCAGTACCTCTTTGCGGTAAGCTTGATTGCTGAAGCTATGGCGGATAAAGGAGCTGTACCGGTAGACGTTCATGCCGCGTGGGAAAATATCACCCGGTCTTCTTTCTTGCGAGAAGAACCAATGCACCTTTCTAGGATCGTTGGTCCCAAGACGTTTCAGGAAGTCTTTCATGGTTGGTTCGTATTCGGCTAGCTTCATGCACATTTCCATAAAGTGAGGCAAGCTGTGGCTTTGTTCATAGGATGTACGTAGGTATTCATTAGCCCACTTCTTGTCGACGGACTTTGGAATCCCTCCTGTGGGTTCTTGCCTGACTTCTTCCCAAAAGTTGGGCATTGGTTCTATTTTCCTTCCAAAAGCTTTGATCTGATGTTCTTCGGTGAGAAACATTGTTGTCATCAGTCGCATCATTTCCATTTGATCTGCGCTCATGGTTTCTTTCTGGGTCAAAGTGGTCGCATCTTCCATTGCTTGACGTTCCTTGCGTTGCTGTTCCGTTGTCATGCGTCCATCTCGTCGATATCCAGGCTGTGCGACGATTTGAGAAGCCACGATGTTGCAAGGCTTGATTGCGATGGGTTTGTCACACCCATCAAGCAGGACTCCGTATCGTTCTGCAGGATCACTTGTATGTTTTGGTAGAGAGAAAATCTTCCCTTGCCGTCCATTATAGCGCACGGACTGCAACCCTTCCAAGCTGACCCTATCACCGACTTTGAATTCATTCTGGCGAGAATGAAGAGCACCCGGCCCATTGGACGTCTTCCGTTTTGATTTCTCTTTCGCCATTGTCTCCTCCAAACTATGATGTTGGCCTCCAGTGCTGTATCTAAAATGTTGATGATACTCCCCAGCCAATCACGCGAAGCATCAAAATTTCCCACGGTACAAATGGCCAGTACGGTACGTACCAGGTACCGGTACCATGTAGCGATGTGCACGCATCTGCTGGGTTCATCGAAAGGCGGACTCTGAAGTCAAAACGGCGTGATGAAATAAACTCCTTGCTTGCCCTCTTCTTCCAGGTCAACCACGAAATGTTTAGCTAGCTAGCCAGCGTCCGATGACATCAATGCTGCAACAGGATTATTTGTATCAATGATGCTGAAGGATCTGTTTCGTTGACATAACGAGTTACGGCGACAAGAAAAGCGTGATTTAGAATTCGTATTGGCAATAAAGCAAGTAGCTAGCTGGGGGGGCATCTATTCAGGCTGTTCTCGTCTGGGCACTATTGCTTGGCTGCCAAGACTGTATTCTTCAATGTCATGGCAACTCCCATAGATGCCGTGAAGAGTCCAAACGGTATGAATAGTAGATTGCGTTTGGCTGATCGATACTCTGGACTGTCCACTCCATGGCATTTACGCACAACTCGTGCATAGAGGAGAGTGGGGCAAATGTAGACCAAGGATGATCCCATGACTGCCCCCGTCAAACCTGCCACCAATTTGATATCTTTCAGGACAATGGAGAGGCATGTTGTGATGATCAGTAGACATGTTACCAACGGTACATGATTCTGTGGCAGTGACAGGGACGTCCATCCCAAAGCGGCACTGGCATTTTTGAGTCCTTCTCTGGCTCCATTGGAGATGAGCGGGAATCCAAAGATAATGCTGAAACCCGTGGCAAGTCGTCCCAATGTGGACAAGTAATCCGAAGCTGCATAATTCAACAGAATGTTGCCTTGGCAGGCGTCCCCAAAGGTGGCATACCCAGAGACCATGGTTGTCGTGTATATGAGTGCCAGAATGGCATAGGCAGACATTGCCACCTTGGAAAACCTGGCCGATGTTGCCTTGTCCAGAGATCTCCAGTAGGATGGTCCATTGTAGTGAGCAATAAATGCCAATCCCAGGTTGGACACCAGTACCAATGCATTGATATCGAAATTCCACAAGGACGATTTGTCAAACGATGGCAGCGCCGTCAAGGCACCTTCGGCGACGAACTTTCCAATGGGTTCCGAAATGGAATAAGTCCCATCCAATGCTCGGTAAAGAATGAAAAAGACAGTATAGAGGACAGCAATCAAGCCCAGAATGGAAGTAAAACCAAGGGCAGAGAGATCCCGTATCATATTGAGTGGCCACAGAATGGCCACTGCAGCCATGAGAATAATGGAAGTTCGTGTGGTGAATTCTGGATTGATACTGCCAACATTGGCCAGCAATGCCGAGAATATATCTCCCAGCAATCCAGTGTAAATGATGGACACAAAGAAGCATTGGATAAAGACCATGGAATCCACAATCCAAGCCGTTTTTTCTCCAAAGGAATATCCCCACAATCCCTTGAACGTTTGTTGGTTGGTCATCTCACATGCCTTGCCAATCAGAATAAAAGTGTGGGCCGAACAGAACGCCAATGCAAGACAGATTGCCAGGGAGGGGATCCATCCAGTTCCACTGACTGCCTTGCCAGCCGCCAATGTCAAAATTCCAGCTCCAGCCACATTGTTGGCCAAGTTGAATATAGAGGTGCTTACAGAGGCTTTGTTGTTGCTGCCGTTAGCCTTAATAGTAGGGCGTCCAGTAGAATCCTTTTGGAGAGATTTTGTGGATGCTTGCTTATTGGTAGCGCCACCACCACGGGGAATGGCATGGACTGCCGACAAAGCCGTTGGTAGTTGCCTGCCCTGTTGTCTTGCCGTCTTGACAGTCCATCTCGTGGGCACTTTTCCCTGCACTACCACAAACACAAGCAGACAAAACAAAACGCAAGTTGGTTGCTTCATGGTGCTCCCTTCTTCTTCTTCTTCTTCTTCTTCTTCAATGCAAGTTAGTTTTGCAACAGCAACGAAAGAAATGGAAGAGGTGAGTGCAACGTTGCGACTTGCAACTGCAAAAATGTGAGCCTGGTCCTTTGGTGGCTTCCGTTAAAATACGTACAGTACTAGTAGGAGATCTTTTTGGTTTTGCCCTTCGCGTTTCACCGAACTTCCAGACAACAAATTCGGATATGAATTCAATCGAATCGAATCAAATCGGTCGAATTAGTCGACTCAGCCGAATCATGCTTTTTAATTAAAAGCTCTTTCTCGCCGAAGCTACCAGAGCCTCATTTTTGCCGGGACCGTTTGAGAAAGTACTGCACAAAAGATCCCAGGAAGTAATTTCCGGCTTGTTGGGCCAAGAGTCAACAGCTGTTGACACAGAACAACCGGTTTTCATGCATTTTATTAGACCAGCCTCATGAGACTAGCCATAAAATTGGACCTGGAACAAAGCAGACTAATAAGATGACTTCGTGGCCCTGGATGAAAGGAGTGGAGGTAGCCATTGCTGACCCCATTGAACCTGTTTGCCCTGAAGATGAGCGACCTTCTGTCAAGGCTCTGATTGAGGAGCATGCTGAAAAGATTTCCAAGATCAAGGCAGCCTTGGAAGAAGATCCACTCTATGATTCCAACAAACACGATGATCTTTGGATCTTACGGTTTTGGTTATCACACCAGAAGAGCAAGAATGCCATTGATGCTGCCAAATATACCCTGGCCTTTCGTCAAGAACACAACCTGGATGAGAAGGATATTCGTCAGGTCACCCCCAACCAATTAAAAGAGGGCTTGGTTGCAGAGTATTTGGCATGCTGGGCAGAAGATGCCATGGCATTGACCCTTCCACATCCGCAACGAGGTGTCATTGGCTTTATGAATGCTGCAGGTATAGATCCACATGCCACAGTAGCAAGGTGCAAAGAGGAGCATTGGGTCAGCACATTCACCTATTGCAGTGAATGGACATTCCAATGGCTTGACTTTGTGACAAGAACCACAGGACGGCTCACAAAAACTATCCGCATTATTGATGCCAGTGGAGTCTCCATGTCGTTCATTAACGTGGAAAGCAACAGGAGGGATGGAAGGGCCATGGCACTGATGGAGGACTGCTACCCACAGTTACTGGGAGCAAACTTTGTTTGCAATGCACCGATTGTTATTCGCGCCATCTGGAAACTGCTAGCCCCCCTACTTCCAAAGAGGGTCCTATCAAAATTTGACATTATCAACCCCAAAGACAACAAAAAGGACGGCCAGAAAATGTTGCAATACATTTCCAATGAAGATTTGCCAAATTTCTATGGAGGAAAGAACCCCCTGGCCCCACAGGAGTGGGCCATGGTGGATACATCGCTTCAACAGCAAATCTTGTTGTAGTCCCTTATTATTTGGATTCCCTATCTGCCCGAAAGTTGGTTTTCCATAAGCCTTAGAGAGTTTTTCAACTTAGACAAGGACACTACTGTACAAAAACAATGGTTAGGGCTGCGAGGGAAATGGGCCAGAGGAGCTTGCTTTCAAGGGGAAGCGGGCAATAACCCCCACATCAAAACAACAACAACAACCATAGTTCGCCCAAACCAATACAACCTGTCCATGTTCTCATGCTAGCTAGTCACATTCACCCAAACTACAACAGGCTGCCAGAGACACCAATGCTCACCAAAAAGGGTTCCACATACATATCTGTGCCCACATTGGCAACACAGCCCCAAGAAAACAACTGTTCCATTTGGGTGGGTCATGTTGGTGTGGAGTATCTGGGTTTGGGGGACTGTCAGTCAACCAACCAATGGCGGAGAACGAAAGTTATGCGATTACTTGTCTGGATTACTACAGTACCTTAGCTAGCTTTTTGTTTTTGGTAGACTTGCTGTCATTCTTCTTGTTCTACCCTCTATGGATTGCTTCCCCTCTCCGGATTTCTCGAACAAGCATCACCTGTGGAACTGTCAGGACCGCAAACAACGCGAATCCATTCAAGTCCAAACTTCCCAGCCGCAACAGCGCAAAAAAACCGTAGACACACATTGGTATCTGTACCATGTGTTCATTGGACTTTCGAGCCCCATGGATGCCAAGCGAAGCAACTGCAAGGAGAAGGACTTGTGCAAACGAAAAAGCTCCGAATGCTTGGAGTTTGGCCATCCTAGTAACATTTGGTACATCTGCGACCAGGAGCACGGCGAAGAAACCGATGGTGCTAAGCACCATGAATGTCACATGGGCAACAATTGATGCGTAAATCCAGAAGCTTGCACATACGACATTGTTGCCGTTCCCTTTTGGTTCCTCTTGTTGCGTCGATAAAAGACCAACTCTCATTTCGCCTGAGGCCCCTGAGGCGAGAGATGGGTTGCCTTCGAGATCGGAGAATGAATTCGACATGCTAATACAGTAACAGTTTTACTTTCTCCTTTCAATTTTTGTGTGTGAAGCTATCTATCAAAGCCACAGACTTCCATCCAAAGCGAAGGTAACCTCATCGGAAGCGAATGTGTCCATGTTGGCTTGCTTGCCAGTTGGCCGGACCAGGCAATCCTCCCTTGTTCCGGACACGCATTTTTTCCCACGTCTCGCTCGCGTGGTTCAATACGGCACTGACATGTACCGAGTGGTCTGCAGCTTGTCAGCGCTCCGTGGACATGTTGGAGCCCGCTTGTTTTACAATGCTGCCTTGCACTTGAGATTCCAAGTGGGAAGCAACAGCTGTAGATTACCATGCTAAATTGAAGCGGCAGCGGAAGCAAAAGCTTGCATACGGAGAGTAACCGAGTGATTTGGGCAAGCATTGATCTCCAAGAAGGATTTGTCCACCTATGCAGATTGGCTCCATAGTGTTGAAACAATCGTGGCCCAAATCGAGACGCAGCTAAACGTCTGGGTATCCCCTTCAAACTCTGCCGGTTTCAGGGGAGAACAACTATTACGCAGAGACGAGCGGCTAGCAGAATCGAATCCGAACGAGTGGCGGGAAAGTGACTCTGGCTTAGACAATGATGTCATGGATTTATTGTAGTCGGCGACTCAATGGTCGCTTCGGAACCTCCCAGTCCGCGTTTGCGGCGAGCACCCCCACAAGGCAACCCAGGCCATTGTGGAAATGAGTCCTCGCCAAATGGATCTGAAAGCGACATGGTTTTCATTGAAGTACAACTCGTTCCGTAGCTTGAACGACGCCGTCGTTGGCGTTAGTCGGAAGTTGCACAACCTACACCACATGGTTCCTTGGTCCTGTTTGAACAACTGGCGGTATTTATATCATTTCTTAAACAATCTCGGAGCAACTAGATTATGGCAAAGACTTGTCCCCGAAGTTCGGCTTCCTTCAATTTTCTATCGATGATTTGATCAATTGTTAGTACTTCACCTATCCGAACATCACAGTCCTCCCCTCCAGCGGCATCCTCGTCTTGTTCTCGCTTCTTGTACTGCAGAATGACCTGTAGAATAGCAGGGCCAAACTGTCGACACCGTGCTCCACCCATACCTTTGCACTTTAGCAGCTGAGAGGTGGTTGTGGGTAGCTGGAGCACCAAGTCATCAAGTGTCTTATTGTCGAATACCAAATACACTGCATCACCGCGGCCCAACCGCTTTGCAAAGCCCAGTCGAAGCTGACGCAGTTCTTCTCTTAAGTCACCTCGCGTGTCAAAGACAAGCCGTCGCTTCGCTTCCTCTCTGGAACGTCGGGATTCTAGCTCTAGATTCAACTTGGTTTCCGCAGAAACTGCAGGAGAACTAAAAGGGGACGCCCATTTGGAGGCGCCAGCTGATGATTCCAGATAGAGGTCTCCCAACAGCGCGTCAGGGAGACAAGTTTTGTGGTAGTATTTGATGGACCAATCTTCCCTCGGATGATAATACTCTTGAATGCCCACCCGAAGAACCCCTCGTTGGATCTTTTGGATGCATTTGCGGCAAGTAGCCAGCCTATTCGGCGAAGCTTCGTAAACATCAAATGGCCGTCTCCTTTCAGGAGACACCACTGGTATGGGTGGTGCGCTGGTGGCTACAGGTGGCGAATATACAGGAGGTGACGAAGCAGCAACACATGCATGTCTGGAATCCAGAACAAAAGAGGGCGGGACACCGATAAACCTCGCTATTCGCGCTCTGGCTGCCTCCACAGAGGCGTCTGAATACAACGTCTTCAAGCCTTTCGGTCCAATGACGCGACAAAGCCACTTGCCTTCGTAGGGTCCTCCCTTTTTCAAAACCGGCTTTGCTGTAGCCTTATGGCCGCAGTTAGTTACAAACTCCATGGTGACGAGTGTCAGCGTTTTTCTTTCTGCTTTCCCTGTCCGGTTTGCATTGGTCCTACACATACATGTACGGTATCGTATGATGCTCTGTTGGCGAACACTAGTGGTTGACCAAAACTTGAAGTTGACTTTGTGAGCGATCTGCGAAAGGTTTTGCGGCTTTGGGGCAAACTGGTACCAGTACCGGTGCAACTCACTATACCGGTACCAGTAGTACAGAACGAAAGATACCCCGCGCACGTCTCACAATTAGCCAGCATAAGCTGTTTGGAGCTTTCTGACGTTACCGGTAGGGCACATGTACGGGCAAGGTCGCCGGTACCGGTACGGGTACGGTACCAGGTACGGCACCCAAAAGTGACAAAGATGTCGAAATGTGGAAGGATTAGGAAACTAGCTAGCTGCAGTAGGCGGCGTCAAAGTTGAGACGGGAGCTTCGCTCTATCATATCAGGGGATTTGTCTTTCTGGGTCAGATCGTTTCGTACCGGTACCCGAGAGGCGAGACCGAGGTATCATTGTGAAGGGTCCAGAAATCGAGGCGTCATCAAGGTTGAGAGAACCAACCGTTCGCCTCTCGAATATTGTGCTGACCTTTACATAGCTGATGTCCACTCAAGGCTTTCTCCATATTCTCGGATTTAAGATACGACTGATTGCACAAATCGCAGTGTCTTTCGTGGACTTGACTGCATGGTATGGCTGTATACAATCCAACGCGCTCATGACCTACCCTTATCTGGCATCATATAGCTACCGGTACCAGCTAGCTAGGATAGACAGAGGTCCGCCATAGTACCGGTAGGCAGCAGAAGGTTTTAAATGCTTGCAAAGGGCATGGGAAGAGGTCGTCCTTCAGCGACGGCAACTGCCACTGCTGATAGCTTGTACACGACCTTTTCGCATTCGAATGATTCCAACTGCAGTCTGACATCACGATCGAACCGCCTTCCAACCTCTCCAGTCCCTTCCATTGCCGCGGCCACCTTTCGTTCCAATTGTTCCTCCACGGCATCCCAAACGTCCATATGAGTCAGTAGCTGTCTACCATAATCTCGTATATCTCGACTATTCGCGCCGTTGGGAAGGATTTCATCTGTTTCTCCTGGTAGTAAGCTCTGATGTTCACTGTCCGTACGGATTTTCTTGGCACATCGCTCCTGAGATGCGACTGCTTCGGAAACCACACGTCGCAATTCGTCCCCCAACCGGATCACAAGCCGCACTCCAGGTGCAATAACATTTTGCATCCATGACAGCCTGACAAAGTAGACATCTGGGAAGGAAATGAAAGGACGAAATGTACGAGGAATCACCCATCCCCAGTGCGTGTGGTCCCAGTACACAGTATGGACATCGCGGCTCATGTCTCGGAGGCAGGGGCAACAGGGGAATTCCGCAAACTTTTTGGCAAGATGTTTGGCAACTGTTTCCAATTCTTCATAAGGATCACAAGAAGACGCCATCATGATGTGGTCACTACCCTGATCTCCTTGATGACAAACACTACAAAGGTCAAAGTTGCAATCACGACAGCCAAACCAAGTGCTGTTGTTGCCGGCTAAAACCCCTCTGCATTTGTCACAAACCATGCCTTCCATTTCCTCCTCGCTACTCGATTCCACCAAAGCATGATTTCCGGGACACTGTTTGCATTTTCTAGGCATCATCATTTTCTCCCTCATGCGATCACGCTCTGTCTCGCTACCTATGCCCACCAAATCAAACAGACGCTGCCATGCGGCCGGTATTGGATAAATCTGACAGGTCAAGTGGGCGCCAAGAGGTGACTTGTCGAATCTTCCAATCACAGGTCCGCCATCTCTTTCTTTTAGACGCAGTTCTACGGAATTAAGATTCGTCTCTAGCAAGCGCTCTCTTAGTAGCTTTCTGATATCGCCTCCTGTTGCGTCGATACAACAGAAGAAAGTAGTAGTAATTTTCCTTGGCTCCTCATCGCTGACCGTGATCGTTTCGATGGATACACGGACTACAAACCCACTTTGCAGCACTACATCTAGAGCGCCTTTGAAGAGATCCTGGTTCATTGTCTTCCTGTGATGTCTGCCAAACCAAGAAGGTTTGACTGCCCTGTTGCCTTTCTTGTTCCTTTCTTTAGTTTTCTTGCCTTTTCGTAGGCAAAGATCTTGGGAAAAGCTCGGACGGTGATTGATGAATTCATATGCCTCCTGGCTCGTCTCCGTTTCCATAAATCTTTTATTACCACCTAACTCGCTTTATTGAAACAGTATTCGCGCGCTCCGCGCGCTCATCCCTTTCTCTGCTTCGCCCCGAAACGGATCCCTCATTCATGCGAAAAATGTGAAGAACGCAAGGCGACTTTCATGTGCTTCGCCCCGAAACGGATCCCTCATTCATGCGAAAAATGTGAAGAACGCAAGGCGACTTTCATGTGCATGTACATGCGTTGACTGTATCCCGTCAATACAATACTAGTCGAATACGTAGACTTCTACAGAGGCCTCTAAGTAATGCACGCGGGGTATAATTCAAACTTCCACTCCCCATCGGTACCCTTACCCCTAAAAGCAAATCGTCTCCGGGAGACGAAACACACGAAGGTCGCTGGACAGACTACTGGTATGATTAACCCCCCCCCCTTTTGACCCCTCAATTCCTCAATTGCACTCCCAAAAATGATACAAAAGTTCTGGTACAGTTGTTCCCGGCAAGATTGTCCATTAGCTTTGCCGCTTTTAAAAAAAAAGAAGTGCGTCGCGTTGCAAAACTCGTCAAAACTCGTCACAGAGCCTTTTATTGGTTTGTTGCTTGCATGCCACAGACAAGGTCTTTGCCAATGCTACCAAGCCAGAGATCCCTTCTCTACTACCATAGAAGACATCTGCAGCTGAAGACTGGAGCAGCAGGGACCAATTGCAGCCAGAGATAGCCAAAAGCTGAAATAGACTACATTTGATTTGCCTCTTCTTCTTTGCCATTGTTTCAGCCCGTGGTCTTGTGTGCCACAGACAAAGTCTCTCTCAAGGCAACCAAGCCAGGGGTCTCTTCACTACTACTACTAGCAACAGTTGGCACTGAAGACTGGAGCAGCAAGGGTCAATTACAGCCAGAGAGAGTCAAAAGCTGAAATTGTATTTTCTTTCAAATCTACCACAATGGCCACCATGACCACCAGGGAAAACACAAGCTCCAAGCACCGAGTTGGAATGAATATCAATGATGTGAATATTCAAGAAGCTGCCATCAACAAGGCCTGTGAATTCATGGGCCCTGATATGTACATCTACGGAATTGGATCCAACAAGAAATACAAGCATGGAATTACCCTCCTTCAAGAAGTGAGGAAAGCTTGTGGCTTCCAGGTGTCCTACAAACAGCTGCAACGGTGGATTTCCTACTACAAGAAATTTGGAGAAGCTCCTGCCAGAACTAGGAGAGAACACCGGACAACTATCAAAGGATTGCGCACTATGAATCCCAAACAGTTCACCATAGCCGACCAGGATATCCTCAAGGAGATTGTGGATCAAGAGCCCCAGCTTTATTTAGATGAAATCCAAGAGCAGTTGGCTGCCAGAACTGGCAAAGCTTGGACGACTAGCACCATTTGGCGTCATCTACACAGCAAGCGCATTGGCTACTCTCTGAAAACTGCAGTTTGGAAAGCCAGGCAGCAGTCGCTGACCGAAGTGGCTCGATTTCACGTTCGAATGAAGGATTATGTGCAGCATCCACGCCAGCTAATTTATGTTGATGAAACCTCTAGAAGCTCCAAGGCATCAAGGAGACGAAGAGGTTGGTCTCCTCGGGGAGTCACTCCCATCATTACTTCTCGGATGGAGAGGGAATTCGACAAGAAATACACTCTCATTGCTGCCTGCAATTGGGAGGGTTTTGAGATCGGCGCATGCCACATTGTGGAAAGAGAGACCAGCAATAGAGACACCAATCCAGACAGAGGAACGGTCGATACCGAACGATTCGAACATTGGGTCGAGCATTTTTTGGTCCCAGTTCTCGGGAGTTTTGTTGACTGTGAACCCAATTCTATAGTTGTCATGGACAATGCTTCGATTCATTTTTCGGACCGCATCACAGAGCTAATTGCCAATACTGGTGCCATTATGGTACTCACCGCACCCTACAGTCCCGAGCTAAATCCAATTGAGTACATGTTCAAAATCTACAAGGACTCGCTCAAGCGTCTATCCTACGATCGATCCCTTCATTGGACGGCTGCTCACCACAGCTCACTGGTTGCCATCACTCCTGATACGGCCAAGGCATTCTTCCGAAAATGTGAGGTTCCTGGAATCGAAAATTGGTACCGTGAACAGCAACTGGAAAAGGAAGAAAATGAGCTTTTGTTTCTAGCTGTCCTCCCGTCTCGACTGATTCTCTTGCATGAACTTTTATTTGATGGGGACTCAGGGGATGGGCTGTTCTAATCAATATGTACTAATGAAATAATGTAATCAATATATCGCCGTCGATTGGATCAGAGTTGACGAGAGGAACATTTCTGCTGCTGAATTGTACCTTTGGACTTTTCTTGGTTGTATGCATGGACACTTGCAGTATGACCTTGGGATCTTCAATTTCAAATGATTCCTTGGTAAATTCAGGCTCATTGTCTATTGCTGAAGCTGGGGATTTGTCACTGTCAGTTGTCCCCGGAGAAGAGCGATTGTCAGTTGATTTTCCGGTGCTTCGCTGCTTGAGTTGTTTTGGGGTAGATATGGGATCTTCTTCCTCGGACGAGCCGCTCTCAGAAGAACTTGGAGACCCATTTCTGGCATTAGACTTCTTTGCTGTGCTGGCAGTGGAAGAACCACGTTTGTCGGTACTAGGAGTTGCCGCCTCGTCCAGTGAATCGGTTTGGGTAAATTCGGTGGATTTATTCTGGGGTTGCTCGCTATCAGATAATGAACTCAATGCCGCTGCTAAATCAGAGCTTTGAGATGACTTCTTTTTTGTGGACTGGCTGGAACGATGGTGAGTTTTTGGCGGCCGACCTGGAACAGAAACTCCATCGGCACGTTTAGCAGCAAGCTTTTCCCGTTGCTTTTCTTGTGTCTGAATTTCGAGTTGGCGAGCTTCTTCTGTTCGAGCATTTTCCATTGCTTTGGGGCTGAGCCTTCTTTGGCGAGAGCGTCGAGTACCACCTTGGCCATCATCACTGGTGCTTCCCCTGGAACGACCTTTGGGTGGCATGGTGGTGCAGTAGATTTGAAAGAAAATACAATTTCAGCTTTTGACTCTCTCTGGCTGTAATTGACCCTTGCTGCTCCAGTCTTCAGTGCCAACTGTTGCTAGTAGTAGTAGTGAAGAGATCCGTGCCTTGGTTGCCTTGGGAGAGACCTTGTCTGTGGCACAAACCAGCCCCAGCTGAAATGGCAAAGAAGAAGAGGTGAATCAAATGTAGTCTATTTCAGCTTTTGACTCTCTCTAGCTGTAATTGACCCTTGTTGCTCCAGTCTTCAGTGCCAACTGTTGCTAGTAGTAGTAGTGAAGAGATCTCTGGCTTGGTAGCATTGGCAGAAGGAGTCTATGTATCGAACAAGCCAAGTCAATGAAACATTACGGTGGCATGGAGCGATTTTGGACTTCCGACGCTCCAGCACTTTTTTTTTAAGCAGCAGAGCTAATAGACAATCCTGACGCAAACAACTGTACATCGTACCTTGTATTAGTACCGTAAAAGTATATCCCTGAACTGAGAGAAATACTGAGAGCCTGTACCTGTGGTAGCCATCCTACAGGAGGTATCCATCCTATCAATCGAGGTATACCCAACACCTGGTGTATGCTGGGTACAATCCTTCCTTCATACCAGTGAGGAGCGAGCGAAAGGTCACCGCCTTGGCCGTAAGATAAATGAGGTTCGCACCTCTACTACTCACTGTTAAGATAACGGACGCACCTCTTTGGCTCTCGAAATCGCTTGCTCCACGAAAAAGCACACGTCCTCGAAAGCTACTAGCTAGTACTACCGGTAGTAGTAGCTAGCTAGCTAGCTAGCTAGCTAGCGTACGTTCGAAAAGCGCAAGTCCACGAAAACCAGCACGAAAACGAAAAATGCCACAAACCAAAAGTCATCATGCAACAAACTCACTATTAGGCATGGCTACCATGCTTATCAAACTAAGGTCAACTTTACTGAGCACGAACAATACAAAGATCCTCATGCAGACTGCCCATAATGGTGTCCTGCTTGATGGCAGCAGTAATATTCAAAACACTTCCTTTGTAATGCTCCTCAATCTTGGCGATGACCCAAGCTGGAGCTTTCTGAGCATTGACAAGTGTAGCCATGAGAGTCCAGAGTGGCTTCCTCCTGGAGTAGGTTGACTTGCAAGCCCTGATATCATCAGCAGTGAAGTTCTTGGCTGGCTTGTTGCACACCAATTACCATGCCATCCACTCTTGCCAAGCAGAGCCAACAGTTCTGTACTTGGCTAGCTTGGAGCCTACTATCAGCAGGGGTGGTGGCCACAGCTTGTCTGTACCTGAGGCTAGTCTGGCCATTCCGGCGTGCGACAATACCATTGTGGATTGTCTAATCTAACGATCTAAGAGATGTAAAGTTTGTATTTCAAATAAGTGAGCAGTTATTGATTTTTTCTAGAATAAGCCTGCTAATTGTAAAGCTGTAAAGCTGAATTGTAAGCTGTATCCCGTCGCACTCCCTTACCGCTGAGTTTTA